TCTGCAGCGTGTGGCGTAGGTGACCCAACAGGCCTCTCCTTGGGAGGGTTAGGCAGGATTTCAAAATGCAGCCAGTTGAAGTGTTTTACCTGGGTGCTTGCGTGCCCACCCCTGGGTTCTGACAGCAGTGTTGACTGTCCTGTTCTTCACTTATTTGCCTGTCAGTCCATCCTCTGTCCACGTGGTGGCCTTTCCCTGCTGGCATCAGGGGCTGAAGGCCAGCAGTTTTAGTGAAGTTCATGCAGTGAAGGGCATGAGTCACACACACTGGGTGGGCCTGTGCAGGGCGCAGCACCCACAGTGGTACAGAAGGGACCCTTGTGCCCCTCCACGGTACTGCTTGTTTGAGAAGTAGACCGGCCTCGATGTGATCTGAGAAGGGCTTCCCAGGTGCTGCTGTTCTGGGCGGGGACGGGTCAGGCTTCACACTGTCCATCTCAGCTGTGGGGTTGTTGCTCAGTACCTCATGCCTGGCAGTAGAACAGGCCGTGTCTTAAGGATGTGTGCGGCACATTTCAAGCCACTCTCAGTCTCCTGACTCACCCGGATTCTCAGGCACCTTCCCCGAGGACGACATCCCGGAAAAAACCTACAGGCATCTGCTCGAAGGGAGGCGGGAGCTCAAGATGAGGAGGCGCTCACTGAAGTCAAGGTCAAAGAACAAGAGGAGGACTGGAGGTGACTATTGACGTCCAAGTGGGTCACCTGCTGCCCTGTCCCTTGCCCCTGGTCACCTCTGATGTCTTTTCCTAAGTCTCCTCTTCAGACACAAGTGCCCGCTGGCTTCGAGTTCTGGGACGCCCTGCATGGTCGTGGTCTCAGGGCTTGACCCTGGGACTACTCTCCACCATCCCGCTTCCTTGCCTGAAGCACACTGGCTGTGGGAACTGCCCTGTCCACACCATGGTGCCTTTCTCTGGGCCGCCTACCTCTTTTTTTCCCATGTTCCCCTCCTCTTCCATGTCCTCTGGCAGTCCTTGAGTTTCACAGCTCTTGACCTTGTCAGGGTCATTTTTCCTCCCTGTCCCTCCCTGATGGCCACAGGATTGTGCTGGACAGGGCACCTTTGCTAAGGACTGACCTGCATCTGTGCCCTGTGGTAGGCTTGAGTGCCTGCTTGCCCTGGGGCGGGCAGTGCCCTGTGCCAGATATGGCGCTGCAGGGAGCTGAAGAACCCTCCCTGCCATCTGGATTGACCTGGCCTGGGCCGCCCACTGCTGTTGAGCCCCTTCCGTGTTGTCCCCACCTGGGCAGTGACTTCCCAGCAGCCTGCCCTCAGCTGGGCCCCAGCACCTGAGCCTACTGCACAGGTGTGCAACTTGAATCAAACTCAGGGCTTGGCAGCCGACCCTGAGCCAGGGTCGTCCCTCCTCTCCCTGCGCTGAGCCAGTCCCACCCCCTCCACGCCTTGCTCCAGGTCTGGGCCTCCTGATCCGTCCTCTTGACAACTGGTTTTTCTAGAGATGTGTCTCCAAGCTTGGCCCTCCCTGTCACGAGCACGGGTGACTGTGGAACATGCCATCTGTGCTGATGTGGGTCCCCTGGTGGGCTGTGGCTGCTGTGCCTGCAGGGGATTTGTTTTGGAAGAAGTGTGTTCCCTGTTTCAGCAGGGGAAGGCGAGGAGGAGGCCTCTAGTCCAGACCTGGGCTCAGGGACTGAGAGGAAGAGGAGCCGGAAGAGGGTCAGCCCCAGCGTTGCACGTGCAGAGTCTGGTGGCCAGAGCGGGGTCCACAAGAGGAGGAAGAAGAGGCCGTCGCTGAAGAGCAGGAAATGACGTGGCCAGGCCAGGATGGGTGGCCGCTGAGCTTGCTGTGGCTTTCCTTGTCTGCAGCTGAGGTGGCTGAGGGGCAGGAGCCTGGCCCGTTGCCATGGCCTCTGAGTGCCCACGGCTCCTGAACCGTGGGCACTCAGGGAAGAAGCAGGGGGTGGGGGGAGTGGGGGCCCTTCATTTTGTGCCAGCCTCAGAAAATGCACCTGTGTGTGGTGGCCTTGAGCCAAAGTTCAGACTTTGGGGACTCGGAGCGCCTGTCTCAGCCTGGCCTGCACCACTGGGGTCCATGAAATAAAACACTGTACAGTCCTTTCCACAGCTGTGCTCCTTCTGGGGCATCAGGGTAGACACTGAAGCAACAGGTGGGGCTCCTGAGCACTGTTTGCATTTTATATCCATTTTTGTGGGGAAACAGTCTACCAGTTTTCAGAACCTGGTGAGAGCTGCCAGAGTGTTGGCAGTGCCCAGCTGGACAGGGCTCCAAGACTCCGCCCCGGCACTCGCCAGCCTCACCGGGAGCCGGGGTTTCACGCAGCTCTTGTTGATTGGCATATCCATGGCAGGAAAATCTGGCTCCTGGCATTCTGGTGGGCCTGGAGACCACAGCTGTGGCAGGAGGCCTGGGTATGCCACACGTGTCCCCACCTGGGCACTCAGCCCCCTTCTGTCCTGCCCAGTGGGTTCCTGGGGCTGGGGTCGGCTGGGAAGCAAGTTGGAGGCTATGGGGAGGGCAAAGCCATCTGTCACCTCCTACCCCATGGGTGGAGGGGTGCCTTAATGTAGGGGAGAGGTGTTTAAGACTTGGCCTGCTTGGTTGTGGGCTGCAGGATGAACTCTGCAGGGCAGGTATTGGTGGAGCCAACTGCTGGGGCTAGAGGCAGTGTGCCCACTTGCTCAGGGACAGGGTTTTTTGTTGTTTTTAAACTAAAGGCCATCATGGTGGGTCATCTGCCCCACAGCATGGTGGGTCATCTGCCAAGAATCTGCTGAATTCAATGTTTACCTCATCCAGAAGCCCTTCCACAGGCAAGCCTGGGCGTCCGAGCAGAGCTTGGGTGCCAGGGCCTGGCGGCACGTGACGTAAACCATTGCATCTGCACCTGGCACCTGCCCGTCTCCCTGCTCACGGAGGGTGCCTGGCTGACACCCAGGGTTTCTCTGTTCTTTTGTGCTCTCCCGCCAACTCCCTTACTTGTAGGTGTTCCTGGAGCCAAGGTTGCTCTGCCCCTGGCTTTACGGTTCCCTTCCTGCTGGGTGCCCTCACCCCACTTGGTGGCCACCCCTCTTGCCCCTTTTGACTCCTATGTGTGTTGCCCCACTGCATGAACCCAGTAATCCCCGTGGGCTCTGGTGTCCATGTGAAGACCCTCCTCACCCAGGCTGGTGGCTGAGAACCCCCCAGCACAGCCTGCTCCCCTTGGCCCTGTCTACGGACCTGTACGCAAGTGTGGGGGTACCTGGCCATCAGGTCTCCTGGGTACTCTCTTGCCCTGTGCCTCTGCTGGGTCAGGGCTCCCCACAGCATTTGAAGCCCGTAAGAACATGTAAGAAACAGCTCGTGGTGAACTCCCTGATCAAAAACCAGTTGCCTCTAGTCTCAGTGACCTTGCCCATTAGGGAAACAGCATTTCCCACAGTTCCTTTGTCCTGGGCAGCTTGCACACCTGTCTGCATGCACAAGTGGTAGGCGCCCAGCTACAGGGTGCACACACCAGAGGGTCACTGTGGGGACTGTCCTACAAGTGCAGCTGGTGGGCAGAGGTGCTCCGTGGTGGGTGTGGTGAGGGCCTGCCAGGGCCCCCTAGCCTCTCATTTATTTCTTACCGTTCTCATTCCCATGTGGGGATAGAGCCCAGGAGTGCTTAACCGCTGAGTCACATCCCGGCCCTTTCTGTGCTTTGTTTAGAGACGTGGACCCTCCTGTCTCAGCCTCCCAAGCCTCTATGGTTCTCTGTGGTCCTTTTAAGACTGGTTCCCCACCTTAAAAAATGTTGAGCTGTAATTCAGCCCAGCACTCGGCCTCTGCAGCCCATCTTGGAGCAATTTATCACCTCAAAAAGAACCTCCAGTGCCATGCCCACTTGTCCTCCAGCAGACGGGGCAGAAAGCCTGGGTGGGCCCTGCTGCAGAAGGCCCTGCCGAGGCAGAGATGGGTTGTAGGTCACAGGGCAGGGACGTTCACTTAGGCTTCCTGGAGTAACTAAATGGTGAGGACATTCTGTGGCTCAGGGACTTGCAGACTTCAAGGAGCAAGCACGCCGTTGCGCTGCCACACTGTTCAGATGTGACATTCTGGGAGGCCGAGCAGTAGCTCCAGGGCTGTAAGGCTAGCAGGGCCATCTCGGGGCCATCTCAGGGACACCGCGTCCCTCCGGTACATGTCGGTGCAAACAGACAAGGGGCCCAGCTGCAGCCTGATGACTGGAAGCTGCAAAGGGTGGCTCAGGGCAGTCCAGGCCACCAGAGTGACTCCATTCCATGGCTGGTTCTGGTGGAGAATGACAGTTTTGGCTCACAAGCCGTTGCCTTGGCTAGGACGGTCTCTGCACTGTTCTTCCGTAGTGGCAGTTGTGACGGCAACTTCCCCATTTTAGCCTCCTGTTGGGAGGCTGAGGCTTCTGATTCCCAGTGAGGTTAGGCGCTGGTGAGGTGGGCATGGGGCAGAGGGCAGGAATGAAGAGCCCTGGTGCTGGGGCACATCCTGGAGAGTGGCCCAGCCAGGGTGGACTTGAGCCCACCCCCAGCTGTAGGATGGTGAGTGGAGTTAGGACAGTCCTGCAAGGTAGTGGGACTGGAACACTGACCAGTTCTTGGGAGCCCCCACCTTTGCTTATACTGCTTCATAGACACAGTCTGGCAGGAGGGGACTGTCCCTCCCTGCTGGCTTAGAAGGTCCCAAGATGAGAACCAGACAACAGTTGGGACCCACAGGCCAGACCCATGCCACGGCACTGGCAGGTTGGATGAGAAGGAGGCCCTGCCACTGTTATGTGGCCCTGCCACTGTTATGTGGCCCCACAAGAGAAAGGGCCCAGAGTGGGGTCCATGTGCACTGGCCCCCACTGCAGGGTGAGGACCCCTGGTGGAGGTCCCATGGGCATGCTTCCCCAGTGGGCTTTTCTACTGGGGAGAGAAAGGTCACCAGAGAACCCAGGGGCACTGGCTTGGAATTGATTCTGAAAGGTGTTGCTGAGGACAGGCTGGTTGCCTTCTGAACTGGACCTGACGGGAAGAAGCAGTGACACCCGCGCCCATCTCTCTCCACAGCCGCTGCCATTAGGGGTTTTGAGATGTCCCTCAAGTGCCATATGGTGGCCACCAAGCTGTTAGCTGGCATCTCTCTTTGATGGGCACCCTGCATCCCCTGGAGTTCACTGTGCAGACAGCTCTGCACCCATGTGGGTGTTTGCGCACACCTACCCATTGACACCTGTCACCCGCGCACTCACCACTCACCCACCTGCCCTCCTGCCTCCTGGTGTCTCTTCCATGCACCCACCCACCTGCCTGCCACTTGTCTCTATCCAGGCGTGGCCCTCCTGCCCACACGTACCTGCCATCTCTCTCTCGCGATAGCATCTACTAACCTATGACCTTAGGGAACACAAGTGAAAAGCCACGGTTAATTCTGTCTGTGAAGTAGCCCATCCCCTGTGGGTGTCGTGTCTCTATGGTGGCATCCCCCACAGGGGCACCTCTCTCTCCAAGGCATCTCCCAATGGTGTCACCTCACCCCTGGTGACATCCCCACATGGACATGCCCACAGAGCCCCTATGTTGACATGGAGTCTGCCTCACTGGGGGCAAGGAGAGCAGGCACCTGGCTGGGCTCTGGGGAAGTGGGCCCAGTTTCTCTGGCCCCGCCCCAGGATGTTGCCACGCCCCTGCTCACACGGGCTGTGTCCCCTCCTGCCTGGGACCTGCACAGGCACCGTGCCAGCGTCTGCCTCTGGGGGTGCCCCTGGCCCTGGAGTGGGTTCTGGAGAATAGGCTGCTGGGGCGTCTCCAGTCCCTCTGGGGGCTCCTTGTGGTCTCCAGGGAACGGGCTTCCGGGGCAGAAGCTTTTCTCCCAGTGCTCCTGGCTTCCACCAACCGGAGTCCTGCCTTGCTGAACATGACCTCCGCTCTGCTCTGCCAGGGGCTGCGTTTCTGCACATCTCCCTGCCTGGGGATGGAAGTCACAGGGTCAAGGGGATGGTTCCCACGGTGCTTGTGTGTCTCCTGCCTCCAGGTCTAGTCTGGGATGGACACAGGCATTGGCTTTTTTAAGCCTTATAGGTTAATTATTAAATTCTGTCTTGATACAAATTAAAGATGTGCCTGGATTTGGGGAGTCGGGCATTATCATAATTTAGCGTAAAAGCCCCGACTCCGGCTGCTTCAACAGGAAAGGCTGCTGGCCCCATGTGAGGTCACAGCACTGCAGGCCTGCGCCCCTTCCAAGCCCACAGCTGCCGGGCTCACCCACTGGGGAGTGACTGCACCCCCGCCACCGTCCCACCACTGACTGGTGTGCTTGGGCCACATGTGGCACTGGTCCCACAGGGGCTGGTCACAGGAGGAGGCCACACCCAAGAGCCTGCTGCGCTCTGATGCCAGGCACCTCAGGAGCAGGACATGGGGGCCTTGGGGAGGTGGTGGTGGCGGCCTGTCTTCTCCAGGCTCCACCAGGTGGCAGAGAGGCAGGAGGCTGCACCTTTTCCTAGGGCCAGACTCCTGCTGCAGGTGGATGCCCCCTGGCCTGGCTGTCTTCCTCTGTGCGAACGACTTCCTGGGTTGACCTGCCCCTTCCTCCCTGGGACAGGAAGAGGTGCGCGGAGAGGACAGCAGGCAGGCACTCTGAGGTGGCTGGCAGCTGGGTTTCCTCTTGAAAGAATCCCCCTGGGGAAAGTTCTGCTCAGACCAGGGCATTTCTCTGGACGAAGGTGCGGAACAAGCTGCTCCTGGGCCTTGTGCCTGCACATGTGTCCCCAGTGGCAGCTCCTCCGCCGCAGCTGGGCACTCTCTCGGACTGCACAGAGCTCCTCTGGGAAGGAGGAGGCCTGAACCCGTGGGGGCGTGGGGAGCAGGAGCGGTGTTTAACGGGGGGGGGGGGGGGGGTGCACCTGGGGTTTGGTGGCTGTGGCTGGTGTGTCACAGAGGTGTCTGTGTGCTGGTACTAGCTCAGTGGTGGAGCACTTGCCACAAAGCAGAAGGCCAGTCACCTTCCTGACCTTGAGGTCGTTGAGAGGCAGGAGAAGTGTGAAGGACCCACGTGTTCCCAAGTTGAAGTTGGTGGTGGTACCTGGTGGGTTACTGTATGATTCTTTTTTTTTTTTTAAGTTGTAGATGGACACATCTTTATTTATTGATTTCTTTTTATATGATGCTCGACTGGATGCTTCATGCATGCGAGGCAAGGGCTCTACCACTGAGCTACAGCCCCAGCCCTGTGTGATTCTTTTTTATCTATGTTTGGAATGCTACATATTTTTCTACAAAAAAGCGGGATGTGGTGGAGCAGGCCTATAATCCCAGTGACTCAGGAGGCAGGAGGTCAAGTTCAAGGCCAGCCTGGGAAATTTAGGGAAAACATCTCAAAATAAAAAATAAAAAGCACTGAGGATGTGGCTCAGTGATAGCGCACCCCTAGGTTCAGTCTTCTGTACTGGGGAGGGGAATGCAAAAGAAAAGCAAAAGCAGAAGTATTAGGCCGGTCACAGTGGCACATGCCTGTAATCCCAGTGGCTTGGGAGGCTGAGGTGGGAGGATCACGAATTCAAAGCCAGCCTCAGCAACTTAATGGGCGCTTAGCAACTCTCGGACACTGTCTCTAAATTAAAAAGGGCTGGGGATGTGGCTCAGTGGTTAAGTGCCCCTGGGTTCAATCCCCAGTACCAAAAAAAAAAAGTCATTTTAGGAAACACAATTTTCACAGTTTCCCCTCTGTTGTTGGCTTTTAGGATTTTAGAAATGGGCTGTTTGAAAAGCAAGCATTCCTGGGAGGAGGGAGTCCATTAGTGGGTTGGTGAATCTGTTGTCCTGTTCCTGTTTATCTAGAAGCAGTGCTTTCCTTCCAGTTCTTGTTTGGGTCCCTGCTGTGCGCTCTTCAGGTCTGTGCCCAGGATGGGTGGCTGTGTCCCATGGGGACGCTGTAGGCTGTCTGGGAACCACCAACTTGCTTGTGTGTTTTTACATCATCTGTGTCTTAGAAAACTCTCCCAGCCAACTGGCCCCAGGAGATGCCCTGCCTGTGTTTTCCCAGCAGGCTCTTTGAGGGAAACGCACCTTCTCGGAGAACACGCCTGCTCCAGACACACCAGCGGGCAGGCGTCCACCTGGCCAGCAGTGGTCCCCCACACAGGGCCACTTCACAAAGGCCAGAGGTGGGAGGACACGGGCAAGTTCCCCAGCCCTGGCTCACACCATCCTAGGCACCCTGAAGTTGGTGCTATGGCCTGTGACACTGCCCCTCCTGGTGGTGCAGTGCTCCCCTCCACGGGCGTCCTGAGCCAGGAAGCAGGCATTCCAGGAGAAAGGGGGGTCTGCCATCTTTAGCTCCCAGCTGCTGCTCTCTGAGGATCCGGAAGGAGCCAGCGTCCTTGCCACCATCCAGGTCGGCGGGGCGTCCTGTGGGAAATGGGCTCTGCTGGATCAGGCAGAGGGGCCATGACTGTCTTCGCAGACAGGCCCTCTCCCTTGGTCTGCAGCTCTCCCCAGAGCTGGTCCTGATAGGCCCCTGGGGCAGGTGGGAGATTTCTGTGACTGTGGGTGAAGGTCGGCTTTCTGGAATGGCCAGGGCCCTCCATCTTCCTACTATCTAAATTGGGATGCTACAGCCCCTAGGGGGTGGCATGTGCCCTTGTGGGCCCCAGTGGGTCCACCCGCCATCGTGATGCGCTCAGCTTGCTCCACGACGCTCCTTCACGTTTCCCACTGTGGTGCTTGGGGACCTTCAGAAAAGTGCAAATACCACATGGTTGTCCAGGGCTCCGGTGTACCCAGAGCCCCCGTTCTCCAGGACCTGAGAGCTAGCAGGCTGTGTGTTGGAGGCTGTGGGCAGGAGGCCCTGGGTCTTCTTGCAACTCTGCTGGATTGCCCAGGAGATGCCCTGGGTGGCGGGGTGGGGGCTGCAGTCCCCAGCACAGCCCCTGATGCATGCAGCAGCCTGCGCCACATGCTCGCTCTGCTGTGCCGCCTGAGGGTCCCAGGCGAGGCGAGTTAGGAGAAGTGCCCCCCCTCGGCCTCAAGAACTATGGCTTCCATGTGAAAATGCAGGTGTGGCAGAGGGGGCCTTTCACCAGAAGCCAGGGCAAGGGAAGGACAGGATGGGCTGGCAGGGCTGGCTGTGGGCCTGGGGCACCACCCGCTCACAGGCTCTCCCCACCCTGTTCCAACCATCACCTGCCCCCTTCCTTCCTCGTTCACCTACCGCCTCTGGTCTGAGCCCCAGCCACAGAGCTCATGGGACCCCGCCACGGCTCTGTCCATGGGCCGGGACCCTAGAGCTCTGCCCAGCCTGATTCAGCCTCTCTGGGCTCCAGCATCCCCAGAGGTAGTGAAGGCACTGCAAACCCCATGGGTACAGACCTGTGTCCCCCATCCATTTCCTCAGGCACAGCAGCACGAGGGCCAGACCGCAGCCTGAGATGGTGTTCAGCTCTTAAATAACCACGCAGACCTAACACCACTGAAGATAGCGTCAAAACCGTGTCCCCTGCCCAGGTAAGCCCCAGGATGGCCCACCCAGAGGAGCTCACGGTGCGGGGCTCAGGACCTGGTGGGCAGCACAGGAAGCCATGGGCCGTGTCGGTTTCTGCGTCTCTGTGGAGAGTGGCAGGACCTACCTCCTGGTTGAGGATTTGATAAGTGGACACGGTGAAGCACTGGCAGTGTGTCTGGCCCCGAGCGGCTGCGGGCAGGCTGCGGCTGGGGGTCCTACCTTTTCTCCCTCTGCTTCCTGGAGTGGAAGCCACCCTGCCACCTAGAGAGCTGGACGTGGAGCCGGAGGACCTGGTGGGTCCTGAGCCTGTGGGAGCCCGCAGGGGAGAGGGCCCTTCTTTCTCTGGGGACGGTGGGTGCGGGGAGTGGGAGAGCCAGCTTCCTGGGGGAGCAGTTTGTCTAGGGGGAGGCCTGCTTTTGGAGAACACATCGTCACCTAAGGAAGGGGGCAGAGCTTCCGCCAGCCCCCGGGAGAAGGAGCCATCAGCAAACCCTTCAGCTAATTGTCTTCAGCGGTCTCTTGAAATCTAAGGGCTGTTACAACAGTAATTTGTGCCTCTTAAATAGTCAACTATAAATAGTGGGACAAACCGAGCGGGAAGCAGGAAGAACAGGGAAGGTGCTCGGAATAGCAACTAACCTAGAAAGCGAGTCGAGTTGACGTTGAGCGGTTGCTGCTGAAGAAGAAGGAAAGGGTGAGACCCCCGGGTGCCTCTGCTCCTGCCCCTGCAGGACCCTCCGTGTCCCCCTGGCGGCCACAGCCAGGCCAACGTGGTGGGCACAGAGCGCCTTGAGCCCTCAAGACTTTCCACCTGGCTGGCCACGGGGCCCGGCCTGGCAGTGGGGAGCGTGGTCCTGGCCCTGGAGCCCTGTGGTCACCATGTGGCCTTGTGCCCAACACCAAACAGTAGCAACTCAGAGACAGCCACGCAGGAGGGGACACCCCGATGCAAGCTGAGGCGTCCTCCCCGGCCTCCACCTGTGCTGCTCACTGGTCAGCTCGTGCTTTCATTCACGAGGTACCCACCTGCCCCTACGAGCGAGGCCCTGTCCTGGGAGGCCACACCTCAGGGAGGTGACTGTCCGCTTGAGGATGGGTGCTGTGGTTCGTGGGCAGGGTGACTCTGCAGGTGTGGCCAGAGCAGTGCTGCCAGCAGCAGGTTCATGAGGCGCCGGGTTCCCGGAGGCCATCAGCGCAGCCCACCCAGAGGGAGCCTGAACCCGCCACGGGGAGCCCCATCCCTGAGTGCCGCTGGTGGGCAGGAGGGTGGCTCCCAGCCCCTCCCGGCACCCTGCTACCTGGGAGCAGCACCCACCCCACCTCCTGCCCCCAGCAGCAGAGAGGGAGGGCTGGAGAACTGGAGGGCTGGCCCCAGGCATCTTCCCGAGCCTCCAGAACACTCCCGGACTGAGCCAGGGCCAGGTTGTGGGCTCGCCCGGCTGCTGGGGCTCCCACTTCCCACCCGCCTCCTCGATCCCTCCCTGTGGCTCCCTCTGGGCCCCTCTCCTGCGCACACCCCGTGTCCTCGGCTCCTGCCAGCCTCTTCCTCCTGGGGCCTCCCAGCGTTTGAATCTCGCACACCCATCCCTGGAGCCCTGACCTTGCACCTCCAGCAACCTGCCCCAATCTCTGTGGCCTCCTCCTGGGGCTGGGCCGGGGGCCAGGGCCTTGCATCTGGGTCCTGCCCCGCTGGCGGCCCCCACCTCTACCTGAGGTCCCAGCAGTCTCTGGGCAGTGCTGCCCTGGGGGCTGCCTCGCTCCCCTGCTCAGAGGAGAGGCCAAGGCTGTCATGAGGGGCCTGCTCTGGGGTATCCTGCCCCAGGACCCCCAGCCATCCCCAGGGGACAGACTGGGGTGGCAGAGCAGGGCATGGGACTCTTGCAGGGGCACAGGACACTTGTGCTTGGGGCTGTGTCCAAAGGTGGCAGGTGCTGAGCCCTCAGTACTGCCCTGCTGCCCTCTCTGCTCAGGAGGTCACCTCTACCACTTGACCCTCTCCTGTGAGAGCCGCAGCTGCTGCTGGTGGACCCCTCCCTTCTGCCGACCCGCACCCTCCTTGGACCCTGAGCAGCCTCTGTCCGTGTGGAGAGTCCAGGGCCTGGGGCACTTGCAGTGCAGTGAGTTCATCCCAGGGACTGTTGCAGAGACCTGGGTGGGTGGTCAGCAGGGGCCCAGCCAGGGGACAGGCCACATGGGTGGGGGAGGGTGTGCGAGGGAGCCCCATCTGCTATGGGCAGAGTGGCCCAGGAGACGGTCTGTGCACGCTGGCCCCGGCAGGTGCTGCCCTGGAGGTGAGGGGTGCTGCTGACCTGGGCTTGGCTCCCTCGGGGTCCACTGGAGATGCAGCCCCCTGCTGCCTTCTGGTTGCAGGTGGCTGTGGGTTCGACACTGGATGCCACTGTTTGCCGCCTGGGATGGACAGGCTGGGTGGCAGGGTTTCAAGGAAGGACCACAGGAAGAAGTTGGCAGTGCCACGGCTACTCAGCCTCCCAGGGGGCATGTGCGGGACTCTAGGCCACCTCGTCTGCCATTGCTCCAGATGACCCGTAACACACCTGGGCATTCGAGGCCACCTTGGGTGCGCAGGGCCAGCAGGCCCTCTAGGAGTGGGGCTGTCCCTTGCCTTGTCCCTGGAGGGCCCAGGAAACTGGACCGCTGTGTGTTTGCTGCGGCAGCGATTCCACCCAGGCAGCTCCAGGGCTTCTCTGCTGACGCCTGGACTCAGACCTGGACTGACGCCCCCAGCATGTCACAGACAGACTGACTCGACGGGGGCTGGGGGAGGCGCCAGGCAGGGGCCCAGGGCCAGGGCAGACTTCTGAGGAGTGGGCAAGAGCGCAGCGTGGCAGGCCTTTGCCTCGCAGCACAGTGCTCTACCCCTGAGCCCCAGCCCCAGCCCCGGGTTTCTTTTAAGGGAGGAGCGAGACTGCCCTCCCTGATCAGCTCAGCTGCCCTGGCCAGGGTCGGGGGAGGGGAGGAAGGGACGGAGCCCAGAGGAAGGTGTCCCCACTGAGGTCCCTGCCTCCCTCAGCTGGCTTGGGATGCCCGGGAGGAGCCTGAGGCCCATGGCTGGTGCAGGGCCAACCCTGTGCCCAGTGCTCTCCCTGTCCCCCGCCTCCCGGCAGGTTCTTGCAGTCACATGTGCCTGAGCGTCAGGCTGGCAGGGCCATGATGTCCTCTGAGAAGGGAGGGGCCCGTCCGGGTCCTGGGTTGCCAACATCAGAATCCTCTCTGGCACATTCAGCTGGAAAAGGAGTTTGAAAGGATGGCAAGGAGTGTGCAGCCTTATTAGGAACCAGAGAAACAGATGGAAGCTTCCAAGAGCCAGCCATGCCTGAGAGTTTGCCGAGAACTGCCCCCTGCACCCCCTGCTGCTGGGCCACCCTGTGCCCTCGCACAGGAAGGCTCTCCTTGTGAGAATGGCCCCTCTCCTCCCTGGAGACGGCCACTTGCTCCACGTCACCCTCCAACACACATGCCTGCTGAGCCAAGCTGCCTCCTGTGTGAGGTCTCACCAGGGTCAGTGACCTGGGCATTCTCAAACACTGACAGGCCATTCAGAAGACACGGGACAATGAAAAGGAGCAAATTATGGAGGCACACATCAGCCGAGGGGTCTCCAGAAACCAAAGGAAAGGCGGAAGCCCACAGACCACACAGGTAGGGTTCCTTTTGTGCAGCATCCCTGATGAGGCCATGAATCAGAGGCCAGAACCGCAGCCAGCAGGGGCTGAGTGGGAGGCAGGAGGTGTGGCTGAAAGGGTGGGGGACCCGGGAGGCCTGGGTGCTGCCTGTATGCTTGTCGCAGCTCTGGGACCCACTGTCACGGCCCATAATTCCCCCCTTTTTTCTGCAGTTCTGGGACCAAACCCAGGGCCTCATGCCTCCTGAGCAAGTCCCCCTGGAGCTCCCCCTGCCCAGAGAAGATGTCTGATTGAGGCAGAAATCCAAGGTGCCCAGGACCAGGACGGGCGCAGCCACGCAGGCACCCTGGGCCGTGGTCCTGCACTGGAAGCCTCCTGAGAACAGGGGGAGAGCACTGTCCAGATCGAAGCCTGTAGCCTGGGGACACAGGTGCCGCTGCCTGAGCCTTGTCCCCAAGTGTCCCCTCCTGGGCTGAGCAGGGGTGTGGGCATCGGGGAGACGAGGGACCTCAGCGCAGAGTCTCCCTGGCTCCCTGGTGTCTGAGAGGCCGGCCCTGGGCCGCGACTCCCCCCCTTCCCGCCCCTGCTGCGTGGAGAGGGTGAGAGCAACTCCAGGAACAGCTGCAGACACCTGGCCCCACTGCTCCCTGCTGTGTCCCCTGCAGGGCGCCTGCTGCCCCATGACCACCCACCCGCAGGTGTCCACCCTCGTCCTGTGCAGAGGTCACCAGCACAGCAGGTTCCAGAGGAGGTGGAGGGTCTTGGGCTCTGCTCTGACATGAGGAAGGGGCTGGGCCAGGCCCCCCGGGACCGTGCAGCTGATGCAGGCCACTGGGTGTCGCCCGTGGCGCTGGCAGGACGGGAGGGAAGCCCACGGCCAGCTCTGCCCCTCCTGGTGCCTGCAGCCTGCACTGCTTCCCCTCCCCGTCTCCCTACTTGGAAGTGGCTGTGCTCTGGGACTCTGCCTGTTGTGGGCCCAGAGAAGCGGTGCGTGTGGCCTCCATGCCAAGTTCAGCAGCACCAGGACCGCTGTCACCCTCTGCCCCTCCCCTGCCTGAGGTCTGTGGCCACAGCTTCTGGGGCACTTGCGGGACCCTTCATCCTTCAGACGTCCCCTGCACAGACAAAGCCTCTCCTGCTCCCCTTGACGTGAAAAACCTCCCACGAGTCATCGTAGCCCTGTGTGTGCATGTGCACATGTGTGCGTGTGTGTGCGTGTGCGCGTGTGTGCGTGTGTGTGTGCGTTGCGTGTGCGTGCGAGTGTGTGTGTGTGTGAGCATGTGTGTGTGGAGAGTGAAGAATGTAGGTTCTAGAATACAGAGTCCAGTGCTTGGCACTGGAACTTACCTGCCACTTAAACTTGGGTTTCCAAAACTCAAGGTCACGCATGCCACATCACAGAATGTCCCCTGGAGCACAGGCCCTTACAGCCATAGTCCAGGCTCGAGGAGAAAGGGCCGAAGGGATCACCTGTCGGCTGGGGCAGCACACCTAAGGCCTTTCTGGAAGTCCCACCCTGCCACTCACTCGCACGCTCCTCTGCGAGGAGCTGGGAACGGTTCAGGGTCACCCACGGCTGGGCCATCGTGGTGGGTGTGGCAGAGAGAGGAGGGAAAGGACGCTGCGCAGGTGGCGGGCAGGAGGCTCCCTGCTCCACTCTGTCTGGGCCCCTTTTCCTTTCCTGGGCTTCTGGCTGTCCGGCCAGTGTGGTGGTCCAGGCCTGCAGGACTTGGCACCGGGTCTGGAGGAAGGCAGAGACCCGTCCAGTGCCCTCAGGTCCTCAGGGTCAAGGTGGGTCTCCCTGTGCCTGTTTGCAGGTCAGCATCCACAGGCAGGTCCAGGCCGGGTCTGCTGCCCAGGGCCAGGGTGTGGGCCCCAGGCTGCCAGGGTGGCACGGCCTCTGCTTTATCTTGGGTCTGCCAGATGGGCCCCGGAACCTGGTGACGAGTACGACAGTGTCTCAGCCCACAGCAGCCCCGGGAGCCACGTCCCGTTGTGCGGGTGCTGTCTTCCCCAGGTCCTTCCCCTCCTGTCCTGAAAGGAGCAGACCTGGGCCTCGGGGTTAGCCATGACACCTACAAAGACCCTGCACCCACAAAGTGCGTGTTGTCCCGGGGCCTGCCTGCAGCCCAGTCCCATGCAGAGCATGGCTCCCTTCACCGCCCAAGGACAAGGGGTCGGGCCCCTTCACAGCCTGACCCATGGCCACCAGCTGAGCTCCTCTTCAGAATCCCTTCCCAAAGAACCCGACAGATCTGCTTCTGCAGTGCTGGGGTTAAAGGGCCTCAGCTTGGATGGCGGTCAGCCAGCGTCTCCTGCTTCGGCACCCACCCACGCCGCTGGTCTATGTGCAGCCCGCCTGGCTGTGCGCAGTGTCCAGAAACCTGGGTATCCAGCTGCCCATCTTCCTGCCGACATGTCCCCCAGCTGGTGCATGCAGGGTGGACGGGAGCTGCGCGAAGCGGATCGCAGAGCTCTGCGGTGATGTGCTGAGTGGTCAAAGACAGAGTCGGCCAGGCTCCGTTTCTTTCTTTTTTTTTGAGAGAGAGAAAGACAGAGAGAGAGAGAGAGTTTTTTTTAGTATTTATTTTTCAGTTTTCGGTGGACACAACATCTTTGTGTGCATGTGGTGCTGGGGATTGAACCGGGGCTGCACGCATGCCAGGCGAGCGCGCTACCGCTACCGCTTGAGCCACATCCCCAGCCCTCCCCCTTGCATTTCATAGTAGTGAGAGTGCTCTGGAGATTCCTGGAGCAGGAAGTTGGAGTATGGAATAGTGATAAAGAAATACACGGTGTGTGCTCTTTCAGGAGATGTGTGTGGTGGCTGTGGATCATTTCACTCCCTTCTCAGAGATGAGGAGACTGAGGGTCAGAGTGGCCACTGGCCTAGGAGCACTAAGGCATTTTCTAGTCATTTGATCTGTTCCCATTTTCTCTTCACTAAAGTGAAGATAATATACTTTAAAAAATAATGCTTATCTTTCAGGATTCTTTGGGGTCCAAATCCTTACCTGCGAAGAATAAAAACTGAACTCGAAACACATATGGACTCCTGGAGGAAAGGCAGGTCCCTGGGGAGCATGTGGCCCTGAGGAAGTGCTCACAGGGCACAGCTGCGCTCTGTGCCTGTGGCTGGGGCTGTCTGCCCAGCATCACAGTCGGCCTTTTGCATCTCATGGTCCTCTGGGAGTGGAGTGTGACTCACTACTTCCTCCGAAAGGCAGGCTTACCTGCAGGGGCACTGCCAGGGGAAGCACAGGGGGCGCAGTGCCCAGGGTTTCCCAGGAACGCCACGGTGCCACCGCGTGAGGCTCCCTCGTCAGGCGCTGGTCCCACGACGTCTTTCACAGACACCATTCAAGTGATGAGGCCTGGAGAGAGTCAGCCGCTGGGCACAGCAGCCCACACTGGGACCCGGCTCTCAGGGAGGCCGAGGCGGGAGGGGCAGCTTAGCACGGCCCTGTCTCAAAATGGATTTCTTAAAAGGGCTGAGCCGTAGCTCCATGGTGGAAAACTGGTTGGTCCACTGTGTGCAAGGCCCTGGGTTCCATCCCAGCACCGCCAGGAAGAGGAAGGGAGGGAGGGAGGAAAGGAGGGAGGGATGGAGTGAAGGAGGGAGGGAGTGAAGGAGGGAGGGGGGAGGGAGGAAGGGATGGGGGAGGGAGTGAAGGGAAGGAAGGGGGGAGGGAAGGGGGGAGGGAGGGAGGGAGGGATGGAGTGAAGGAAAGAGGGAGTGAAGGAGGGAGGGAAAAAAGGAAGGAGGGAGGGAAGGGGGGAGGAAGGAGTGAAGGAAGGAGGGAGGGAAGGAGGGAGTGGAGAAAGGGAGGGAGGGAGGGAAGGTTGAGGCAGAGAAGACCTGGTTAAAGTCATGGGGTCCCTTTGACCCAGGAGCCATTTTCTCTGAACAGCCCCGTGGCTCCCCTGACCTGCGAGAGGGGCACCAGGAAGGCAGAGATGGTGACAAGGACAGCCACAGTGCTCAGGAGGTGGCATGCTGGGGGCAGGCTGATGCAGAAGGAGCCACCAGGGCCAGGGGATGGGGGCGCAGGGTGTGCTGGACCTCAGGAGGGACAACGGTCTCCCTGGACAGATCCAAGAGGAAGGGACTTGGGCCGCACCGAGCGCCGTGGGAGAGGCTGTGGGAGAGGCGGGCTCAGGTCCAAGGGAAGCCAGAGCAGAGCAGCAGGGCCACCAGCTGGGGGTGGGTGGGACAGTGTGTCCCCAACCGCCCAGGGCTGTTCCACCCTGCCCTTGTCCAGGCCCCAGACTGGAGGGAAGCCCCACCTGGCCCGAGGCTGGCCTGCAGCCGCGGGGGAAAGTCTGCCTCGATCCTGGGGACCCCTGGAGACCAGCTGAGTGGCCCTGCTGGCAATGGAGGGGAAACCACAGCCACCCCTCCCCCAGGGGGGAGGGTCACGCAGCAGTTGGGAGAGAGGAAGGGCTCACACACATCACCATGACAGGGTGGGCACAGAGGTGCCACCTCAGCATAAGGTACAGCATATTTTTATTCATTTATTATTTTGAAATATTTATTATTATTATTTTTTAATGGACACAATATCTTTCCTTTGCATTTGTGCGGTGCCTCGGGCATGCCAGGCCATCAGCCCCAGCCCAGGCTCAGCATGTCTTAAAAAGGAAAGAGCAGAAGTCGAGCTAAGGGGCTGGAGAAAGACCCACCATGCGCTGTCTCCTATGTGGCCTGCGCGGACAGGGGCAGTGACAGTGGGCGCACACCGGGGTGGCCGCGCGGCCTCATCAGACACTCTGGTGTCCGCCTGGGACCCCGGTGGAGGGCCTGGCAAAGGGACCACGGGCCAGTCAGCAGGAGGCAGCTTTGCGACCCAACAGAAGACAGCAGGCTCCGCTGTCCCATCCCCTGTCCCCAGGGCCGAGGAGGCAGTGTCCCTTGGAGGGCAGGACCCTCTTTCTTCCCACCAGCAGGGCCCAGCGTCCTGCGGCGAGGACGTGTGGTGCACTAGGGTGTTCCTCCTCCTCCGAGGCCATTGCGTCTCACACTGGCTCTGGCGCAGTCACCCCTTCCCCAAGGGTCACTCACCCGCCACCCTGCCGCCCCCACCTTGCCCCAGAGCAGGGGCAGAGCTGCATCCAGGAGCAGCGGCCCTGGTCTCTGGGTGGGTCCTGCTGAGCCGCCGCCCGCACCGTTTCCCTGGCCCAAGGAGACAGCCCTTGAAGAACCACACAGCCAGGGGCTCTCTTGCCCCCAGCCACTGCTCTTGAGTGGCCCAAATCCGTGACAGTGGGCCACCAGCCCCAGAAGTGGTGGCCCCCTGAGCCTGGCTGCCCCCTGGTGGCTGCTTCCCATGCAGAGGGCCCCAGAGCCCACCAGGGACAGAGCCGCCTGTTCAATTCCCAAGTCACCCCAATGGGGAAATGCCACTGGGCTTTGTTTTCATGCAGGGACTGAGAGTGGGTGCTAGTCCTTGGGAGGTGCGGGCCACTTCAGCCATGACAAAGAGGCCCTCTCACATCCTACAGAGATGACGCCCGATTGGCTGAGTGTTTTCAGGAGACTATTTTGAATTTAGAACCTTAAAAAATAATCCTATTCTGGGATTTTTTTCTTTAGTGCTAGGAACAGAACCCAGGGTGTGCCACCACTGAGCTGCCCTCTAGCCTTTCTTATTTTATTTTGAGATAGGGTCTTGCTGAGGCTGGCCTCCAGCTTGTGATCCTTCTACCTCAGCCTCCCTAGTCGCTGGGATCCTCAGCAAGCGCCACTGCGTTCAACTGGGAAATGATTTCAAAGAACTCCTCTAGCTGCTGAGAACCACCTTGTGGGTAGAGACCTGGGACAGGGCTGGGCTATGGCCCTGAGAGTGCTGGCCCAGCTTCCCCAGCTCGGGCCCATCCCCAGCCCGCCACAGGACAGGAGCAGAGGCAGAGATGTGTAGTGCGGACCTTACTGTCCCCCAAAGCTGGTGTCACCCTTGAAGGCTTGGACCCCAGCCTGTGGCACCATTGGGAGGTAGTGGGCCCTTCAGGGGACAGGGACTCTTCCTCCCATCTTTTCTTTGCAGCTGCCATAAGGTGAGCGGCTCCCCTGCCGTGATGTACAGGAAGGACCCGGTGACTGTGGACCGCGGAGCCACACCAAGCCTTTCCTCTGGACCTTGCTGTGTCAGGTGTTGTGTCTCCGCGGTGACCCACCGAGCTAACCCAGAAGAAGGACATGTGGAATACCACGCTGCCACTGAGACCCGGGGATCCCCGCTGAGTTCTGCTGAGGACTGAGAGCCATCCCAGTGGCCTGGTGGGCCAGAGGGAGGACAGTGCCCAGTAAGTGGACTGTGTGCCACCAGGGGCGCAGCACCCGGGACCTGGAGGGAGGCCGCCCCACGAGGCCGAGGCCCCGGGCCTCCCTTGTCTGAGGGAGGCTCCCCTGTGGGGAGGCTGGCTCTGGCCATCGAGGTCTCCAGGAGGAATGCAGGAGATGGGTGTGGAAGCATCTGGAGAAGGCCGAGGGGCCAAGCCAGAGCCACAGTGCCAGCCACAGCAACGCAGGCTCGCTGTGAACTCGGGCCTCGGTTGGCAAGGGGCGCACTGGAGAGTCGGCAGAAGTCAGCTGGAGCCAGCAGCCGGGAGCTTTGATTGAGGACCCCCCCCCCCCAACGGGCTACTATAGCTACTTCTCTGGATTTTCCCATTTTTACAATGAAATCGTATTATTATTTACTTATTTGTTTATTTTGGCACCAAGGATTGAACCCAGGGCCCTTAACCACTGAGCCACACCCCAGCCCTTTTAAAATATTTTACTCAGAGACAGGGTCTTGCTGAGTTGCCTAGGGCCTCACTAAGTGGCTGAGGCTTTGAACTTGTGATCCTCCTGCCTCAGCCTCCGAGCTGCTGGGTTTACAGATGTGCATCACCACGCCTGGCCTGAAATCCTATTATTTTGATAATAAACGAGCCGCTCAGACAAAATCAGGCAGAAATTAAACGAATGGAGAGCTCTGACACGTTCAGCCCTGACCAACCCTGCAAGCTGTTTTGGGGGGAAGCTGAAAAACGAGTTTTATTTGTGTGGAGAGGCAGAGGACCTAGAACACCCAGGTATCTTGAAAGAGAGCAGTTGGAGGACTCACGCGCCAGGTGTCAAGCTCTGTGGCAGTGCGGTGGCCGACAGTGCACATTGGCAAGAGGGGACAGGGAGACCCTGGGCGCCGCGGCCCGTTTCTGTGGTCCTTGGTTCTCAGCGGAGGTGCTAATGCAGGGCCCAGGGCAGGACTTTCTTTCCAACAAATGGCCTGAAGCTGCTAGATACCCACGTGGAGACCAAGGGACCTGGCCACCCCACCAGACTCAGCCTGAGGTGGGGCCCACTGCCAAGGCCGAAGCTGGAACCACAAACCCCCCGGGAGAAGAAATCAGGGGAATGGGCCTTTGACTTGGGGGTAGGCACAGCTGTTCAGAAAGGACACAGAACCATACAAGGAAATCGGACTCATTGGATCACATAAAAATTAAAAATTCTGCTCATTAAGAAATAAATAGGCCACGGGCTGGGGCTGGGGCTCAGCAGTGGAGCGCTCACCTAGCACGTGCGAGGCCCTGGGTTCGATCCTCAGCACCACGTAAAAATAGATAAATAATAATAAAAAAGAAAGAAAGAGAGCAGGACTGAGAGGAGATACACACAAAAACAGTACAACTCAGCATTAGGACAAAATGCAATTCAGAAATGGGGGATCTGAACAGACGTGTCACCAAAGGAGACTGGCAGAGGGCCAAATGCACACCAAACACGGCAACCTCAACAGGCGTCAGGGAGACCAAGGTCAAAGCCGCACAGAGTTCTCCACAGCGCTCACCAGAATGGCCCACCGAAAGTGAGGGTGTGTTCAGCAAAGGCACAGAGCCCCTGGGACCCCCGGGGGGAGGGCCTGCAAAGGGCACATCCCTGGGGGAAGAGCTGGTGGCTCCCTTCCCTCTCTGTCCTTCTGTGGCACTGCACACTGAGCCACCGTGCTCTACCTCTGAGCTACACCCCCAGCCCACTTTAAAAATTTTTGAGGG